GAAAAGGGTATCGATTTTTTTCAATAAAAGAATAGCAGACAGCAGACCTTTGACTTTTTGTAACATGATATTTCGTAAATTACAGGTATACCTATAAGAAAACGTTATAGTTTATTTGTACTTTCAGCCTAATAAATTGGTTGCGATATCGCTACGAAGACTGTTGTAAAAGTTTTTTGGCAGACTGATTTGTGCGGCTATATAATACTTATCTGATTGTATGTTCATAAATGTTAAATATTTCTCACTTCTAGTTTTGCTCATTGATATTGTCCAGTTCAGTTTCCAGTAATATGTAATATGAGTATGATGACGTATGTGGAGACTTACCAAAGTTATTGAGTTCAGGTTACAGAAAAGATAACTCTAAAAAGGAACTTTGATACCAAGGATTTTGGAAAAAAAATTCTACATCAATAACTTTAATTTTAATTCAATTTCTTGTCGTCATTTAATTCATTTATGTTTTTTCTATACTCCCAGGACTCTTCCCTAATTCGATGTATTTCAGAGAAAATGAGGTAAATTGATTCTTTTATAACTTTTATTGATTTCGTATAAAAAAGAATTGTTGACTGATAAAATAAGTTTTTATGGTTGTTTTTTGAGCTTAATAATATTTCAGGGGAAAAAAGCCATGCTACTTATGAAAAACTCGATGGAAAATATATCTTTCTTTTTATCTTTATTTCCTCCGATGGGAGATTGCATGGACATGAATACATCAAACTATAGGAATATAACAATAAATAAATAAATACATATTATCATAAGATTGTATGTAGTTTTACATCCCATTCGAGAAATTTTCACTTATATAGAGACGTCACCATATATCGATGAAGGGCTTCAAATTTAGACCTTTACTCGGCACTCAGGGCCAATGAGCAGTGAGGGATCTTTATATTGCCAACGCCTGCCGTGACACGGGGCTTCGGTTTTTAAGGTCTCATCCTAAGGATCTGCACCTTTCACTTCAAAGTTCCGAGCGCTTGGCTAAGGAACAGTTGCTACCAATTTTTTTATCGACTTATGTCAGTCGCGGCCGAGATTCGAACACACGACATTCCGATCAAGGAGCGAGCGCTCTACCGACTGAGCTAACGTGTTGTAAATTTGAGTCCAATGATGTAAAATCAACATTTGGATAAAAAAAATTGTAAGTATGATAACCGTCAGAGTGAGTGAGTAGATCACTCTGACTCTGGGCACTTCAGTTTGTGAAGAGAGAATTTGATCATACTGTGGTGGTGCATGATAGAATTGCGAGGTGTCGATTGACGACAAAGAAGCACTCATCGGACATAGCTCTGCCTAAGTCTGCATTAGCTGCTTATTCCCCAAAAACTGCTCCATGAGATGGAGTGGACTACCCTCCGCCATTACCGGATTTGATTGTTATTACTTGTTATTAGTATTGTGCCTTCATTCCAGGCGTAAATGATGCACTATGTAAAGGAGTTATGCCTTTCATTGTAAGTGCCTTTTTACGACTTTTAAAAAGACGCTGTTCTAAATTTCAAAAACGCATCGTAACATGAATAGGTAGGCTTATAATGCCTTTCAAAAAGCGATAATACGGATCAAAAGACGTTTTAAATTAGTACATGTAAGGGGCTCATTATAGCTTATTGCCATCGTGTATAAATTAAGTGCTAAATCGGATTTCCAAATCTGTAAGTGAGTATATGCTTTATTCCAAAGAAATTATTGATGACACATACTTAAGATCTAAAAATTTAAATTGATATTTCTATGATATTATTAAATAAATTTTCGACGCAGAGGCTTCTTACAGTTATATGCAAAAAGTAGGCATACTTCTGAAAATGTTCTGAAACGCAACATTTCGTACGACTTATCTTAAGACTATCCAAAGATCCTTGTGTGTAAAATGAAAGCTTCTAAGGATTATCTTAAGATATCAAATGTTTCATACTAAGAATTTTTTTTTCTCTTTTTTGTAATTTTTTTTTTACTTGTACATGTAGTTCATTTCTGAAGTTATCACTTGCAGTAAGTATTCAAAGACGAATTTCACCTATTTGAAAAACACTCATTTTCAGGGACCAAATTTTCGTGTATTGATGAGAAAATATCGGTTCATGGGAATTTGATTTTTTTAAGTGTAGCCTTGTCTTAAATACAATTTTAATGAATTCATGGTTCTCCTCATACCACGAAAACAGCGAAAATTATTTCCCACGAAAATAAGTGATATCATAGTATTTAATCAACACTGCATTGTGCCATCGATTTCCATTACAATTTTAGCAATTTAGTCCATTCTAACCCCATATACAGGTATTTACCTGTAGTATTACTGAGAGCAAGAAAAAATAATAAAGCGAAATTTTATATCCATTGATATATACTCGATAAGTGATTAAGAAAAATAAGCTTTTACGGAGGAATGAAACACCACTTTTGTGACATATTCTCTTTTGATTAAACAATGAAATTTACCCTATTAAATTAGAATATTTATCATGTTGAAATAGAGACCGAGAAGAATGAGAAAAAAGACAGACATGTTTTCAAATGGGTTTAAATAAACCTACTTTTACCCTGATACATGTTAAATACACCAATTGCTTATCCATGACTTCTTCTTTACTGGTATTATTTTTCACACTTTGGCATCAAAATTTCCCATTACAACTATTATTCATGCTTGTTGACCCTCTGTTAACTTCTTGCACATGGTTGTAGAAGTCCTCTTTCACATCGTCATCTGCCTAATTAGTTGGAACAAAAGCTTGGATGATTGTAAGGTTCTTGTGCTCATATTAGGGCCATGACTTTCTAATTCCTTAGCTAGCCTGTTTCATTCTAATAGTGCCTTCTTTACTCTCTCAATTCATCATTATTATTACTACACCTCTTTGCTGCAATTTATCGTCACCTACATAAACAACCCAGTCCAGGTTTGATGTTCGATTCTTTTCCATCTGCTCTCACTTATTTCCAAAATTTCAGTCTTGTATTTTCTCATCCCTATTGCCACCTGTGCAGTTCTAGATTTTTCCGCCTATCTGTGCACATTTCGTTAGTCCATGGCTGTCTTCTATCCTGTTGAATTCGGGGCTTCAACGGCGTCTTGTTAGTACCACCAGCACTCTCAAAAGGTCAATAACTCATCTAGCGTTAACAGCTAATTTCTGTAACGATATATTTTAACAAGGTAGTGGTGTTAACTAGGGATGGCAACGAATATTCGAACATTCGAATATTCATTCGATGAGTTGATATTCGAATATGAATTTAAGATTCGAATATTCGGTGTTTTTTTTAGATTTCATAAAAAGAAGTACTGTGATTAATAAATTTTGATTAGAACAGTGCTGGAATTATCCCTCTTTAATTTACTAGCGGTCAATTTCGATCGCCTGATTTCTTTCACTACATTCTTATCTTATAGAATTACTAAATTACATAGATTTTGTTTTGAGTAAGGTGTTAAAGAATTGTACAATAATGCTTTATGTATAATACAAAACGTACTTTCATAGTTTTTATTAGTTAAATACGATCGGGTCTAGAATCGAGGACAACAAAAATGGAAACCTTCTTAGAATGTCTAAAAGACGTGAAGAGTATACTTATCAAAACAAATTTAATTGATCATTCAAATGAATGTCCAATAGAATTAGACTGTAATTAATTTTGTAAAGGTCTCAATTTCAGAATAAATGATTATATCTTGGGTTGTACATTATCCTGAATTTTATATTCATTATCGGGAAATTTGTTAATTACTTAGGAAAATTGTCTAAGGAAAAATTTGTTTATATTTTTAAAACATTGTATCGAAGATTATAATCATATCTCTTATCAGGCAGATAAGTGTAATTTATTACACGTATTGAAATCTGAACAGTATACCGTTACGACTATATCTTGCCTTTGGCAAGACGACTGGTTCCTCAGTTGGAGCTACTATAAATACATATGTTTCATTTGTTAAAATTATACTTTTCTATATTTAAATCAATTGTAATTTATTTATTTCAAACATTGACAAATATCAAATGGAATTTCTTATTGTACAACTACAAAAGTCTTCATACAATTTTACTTCCAATATAAGTATACCTACGCTAAACCTTTCGTGAGAGTAGGATGATGCATATTTAAAATAAAACAGATTTTATTTATTTTATCGAATATTCGAATTATTCGAATACTTTCATTGAATATTCGAATATGAATTATTGACAAAATTGACATCCCTAGAGTTAACCCTACGTCAAACCCTCAACCTGAAGGACAAGTGAAGTTCGTCTCGTGGGACTAGCAGTTAAACACCAAAATGGATGTTAAATTTTCGTTCTATACGAGCTGCTGACCAAAGTTGAAGAGTCCGGTCTACCCTTCTTCTTGTAGTTTAGCCTGGAGACTTGCCAATGTCCAGTTTCCACGTTTCGCCACAAGTAGGTTGTACATAAGACTGTGGAGAGGCTATATAATGACAGGGAGAGGATTATGCACTCGGCTCTCCTTTCTGTATTGCTACTAACCAGCGGTGGAGGCTAAAAGCGAAAGTAATAAAGCACACAGACGCACCCCAACTCATTAGACGAAAAAGTTTTGAGACATAGAAAAGTAAATTGTTTTTAAAGCTTTAAATTCCTTACAACACTAAATTTGTCACTTGTTGGTTTACTGGTATTTGAGCTAGTTCAGGAGATAAGAATCATTCATACATGTATTTTGTTTTCGAAAAAAATTCCTGTTTTCCTTTCGTACAGACCGTGGAAAATAAAGATGATATTAAGCACTTCGCAGAATAGTGCAATTAATTCCATTCTTATTTCCAGCGGACAGTCTCACCATTATAATTCGCCGAATGTTTATTTTTGATATTTTGATATTATAATCATATTTTAATATTATAATCATATATCTTCAAAAGGAAATAGACAAATAGCATGACCCCCTATAAACCTATTTTTCTTATCATGTACTGACCTATCAATTAGTGATAGGTCTGGAAGACAATGATCAGAATAAGTGGATTAGATGTTCTTGTGATAACCATTCTGGGTATTATCCAGCTCTGTAATACACATATCTTGCCTCGGCGTTCACAGGGTTTGTATGAGTGGACATATGTCAATTTACTAGTATATATCAATCGCAGTTATAAATAAATCACTAACAAGTAGAATAACATGCAAATTCATTTGATTTGTTTATAAATATATAGCTGAATTTTCATAAGATTACATTTTTCTTGAGTAGCTCTTTATCATATTGTGTGACTTATTTGATAGTTATATTTTTTATGATTTGTTTAAATGCAAAAGCATATTACTGAACAAACTCCAACAACATAGGTATGTTTTTTTATTTAAAAAAAACCCGAAAATTTACAAGGTTAAAAAAATAAGTTCTTTAAAATATAATACAAAAACTAAAACGTACCTTATGACTTGGTTCATAACTTTATGTTTCTTACATTAATTTTATAAATCGTATTGCTATCTATTTCAGCATGCGCAGCGGCACCAGCAGACATCCTGTTCCTCCTGGATTCTTCCAGAAGTGAGGGATTCTATAACTTTGAACTTCAGAAGAATTTTGTCTCAAAGTTTGTCACATTCTTAAACATCGGACCAAATGACGCTCAAGTCTCTGTAGGAACATTCTCCACACACGCTAACAGCTTCTTTTTACTCAACTCTTATCACAATCAATACAGTCTCCTAAATGCCATTGCACGGGTAAGTAGTAAAAGTATATAGGACAGAATATTATCTTTGCGACTTCATTCTGCTTGATGTTGTTGTCTGTACTATTAGCCAGATACCGGTTTTGTTTGGTTTGATTTACGTACGTTGCCTTCAAATCTAGCAATAATATATTTTCTTTAGCAAGAGTGATTCTCCATTGACCACTTTATTAGAGGTCCACGTGCTAAAATCTTCCATATCAGTTTTAAACTTTTCATATTGGCTAAGTTACAAATGGAAAAAAACCCATTGATCCTTCAAAGAATATATGTTTGCTAAAGCGTCCAGAAATTGAAATACTCATATTGTAAAGATAATCAGAGAATAAATGATAATATGCCATACCCAAACTTTTTTACCTGCAAAATTTGTTTAAAAAAAATATCCACAAGAAAACAAAAAATAAATCATTGAAATCCTACAATGTGTCTCCTACAAGTTTTAGTTTTATTTACGCAGTATTGCACGACAATATCAAAGTGCTACGGCGCCGTTGAAGGACCAGATAAAATAATATTTATTTGACGTAATATGCTTCCATCTAGCAAATCACAAGCATCCTTTTTTACATAAAGGCATTCAAAAATTAAATTTTCCATTGATCTAAAAATAACATTACATTATTTTATATTCTATATAAAAATTGTTTTGTTACAGAATGTGCAGAGAGTTTCCCGGATTCGATCAAAATAGACAAGTTTAAGCAGAAAAGAAAGCTGAATATTTAGATTGAGAAATAAAACATTAATCATAAATACTACCTGATAATTCAACTTGATCAAGCAAAAACAATGGACGCATTGTACAATTGTAAATTAATGGGGAGTGGTAAACCATTTCAATTTGAAATATCAAAGTAATGCTAGAATGCTTGTAAATTTTGGAAAATATCTTATACAAGCCCGATATTTTCATCAATCTCAAGTCTTCTCCCTATTACTATATCTGAGCTTTTGATAATTGTTGAAACAAGTAGTATATAAATTTCTGTCGATGTTGATTTCGGAATTGCGATTAATTGATATACAGATTACTGAGTTACATTCTGTATTTACTGTATTGCCTACTGTGTTTTATAAAATATTGAATCTTTCCAATGCTATGATCTCCATTATGATAGATACCATACCTACCTGGAGGAACACACACGGATTATGCTTTATATATGGCTGAACACTACACATTTACTCCAAAGAATGGCGACCGTCTCACTGCTCCAAACATAGTATACGTCCTGACAGACGGAGAGTCCGATAGCCAATATCATACACATATAGCAGCACAACATCTCAAAGGCACTGGGGCTAAGGTGTTTGCCATTGGAGTCGGCCATGTTTCTATGAATGAACTGATTGCTATGGCTACAGATCATGAACACGTGTTTACTGTGAACAGTTTTACTGATCTAGAATCTATACAGCACCTAGTGCAGGCAACATATTGTGACGGTAACTCATTTTTAAACAGTCTAAATCTAAAAAAAAATCTTTAAACATGATCATGGATCATATTGTGTGCTGTTCAGCCAGATGATAATGCAATTATAGAGCTAAATGAGATTTGCAGTCAGGTTGAGTTTAATAATTATGTGTCCATATGATATCTTTACTAAGGCAGGCAATATTCTAGTAATATTGCTCCTCTCATATTAGACATCATGCACTATTCATTGGGTCATCGTCGGAAACCCACGGTCGGTCTCGCTTCTATTTTCTTCTAAATAATCAACGTACAGAAATAAAACAATCCTTCAACTCATGACAAATTAGTTGTAAGATACCAATATCCTTGTGTTGACATTTCCTGTTCTATTTCTTATATTTCTTTATTTTCAGTAATAAGTGGAACCTTATGTATCGACAAGATTTCAAGCTGTTATACATATTCTAAGAGTGTTTGCTTAGAACCTAGTTTTGTGGCCTGGGCACAGATGAATTGTCCTGACTACTGCGGATTTTGTCAGAGTAAGAGTGTTAGCAGTGTAAAGTCTATTTATGCATTAATATCTGACATAATTATATCTGAGATAATTTAAACCTTTCATTTTCATATATATATATATATATATATATATATATATATATATATATATATATATATATATATATATATATATATATATATATATATATATATATATATATAATTTGCTTCAAGTAAACACACCGATTCCACCAACAATACAGATTCCAACCATCCCATCAGCTAAATCAACAACAGTTTTACCAGCGACAAAAGCAACTCCTTTACCTTCGACAACAATTAAATTGACAACATCAACGATTAAAACATCAACAACAAAGGGTAGAATATTAACACTCAACCATTGTAACGTTCATGATTTAAAAAAAACCGGTTCCCTACATCCTATTCCTTCTTGATTTGATTTGAACATATTTTATTGTTATTTATAATTACAAAGAGATTAGGCACAAATTCTAAAACTTATTACGCCTTTCTTCTTATCTAAGGGTCTGCTCCACAACGTATACCGGAGGGTAAGTGTAGGGCATCAGTAGTTAAAATAGAATACAAATATTGTACTAGAACATTTAATTAATCAAATTAGGGGTAGGGGTAGAAATAGCTTAAATGTTTAACATAAACTTTCTTCAATTTTTGAGGGAGGGATTAAAAAAACTAAGAAAAATGGTTTGAAATGTTTTGTTGATAGTTTTTTTTTTGTTCACCTGAGTTAAAGGCTCAAGTGAGATTCTGATCAAGTTTTGTCCAGCGTGCACCTGTCCGTTAGTGTGCATGTCTGTTCTCCCGTCTGTCTGTAATTTTTTTCAAATGTTCGACTTTTTCCACAATAACCATTGGGCAAATTTATACCAAACCTGTCACAAATCATCTTTGGATAATTTAAGTTTATTCAGATGAAAAGCCACAACTTCTTTCAAGAGTAGAAAATTAAGAATAAGTGAAAAAATGGCATATTTTAAAATTCTTCACCTCTAGAACCAGATTCATTACATAGTGTAAATTCAAGTTTATTCAAATCATGACCATGGGTGATCAAAGATTAACATGGGAATGTATTACGAAAAATCTACTTATAAGGAACAGCTGTGCAATAGTGACTCGGGTGAGCGTTGCAGTCCATGGGCCTCTTGTTTTTCATTGTTTTCAAAATTAAGGACCATGCGTAGACAAAATTACAAACTGTGCTGCCTATGGAGACTCTGTGTGCACTACTTACAGACTTTGGTCCATAGAAAATTGTGCTAGATTCTGTGTGTTTTGTCATGGTATGAGCCTTATCTTTTTTCTAAAAAAGAAAAAAATTATTATATGTGATAGCAACTAATTTTATTTCATCCATGTTTAAATATTTTTCAGGCATTCACTAACTTAATTAGGGAACGTTGTTCTTATTATCAACCTTCTTTTTATTTAAAGATAAAAATATGACACCAACGACACAAACATCAGTAAAGACCACTAATGCAGCAACATCCACTTCACAAAGTAAGTATAATGTATACAGAAGTTTGACCTTACGATGCTGGCATCTGATAATTAGAATAATCATGAGTTCATGACAGTTTAAAAATCATTCTGTTTAAGCAAATGAGTATACTTACATTCAGTAATCACAGTTTTAATTATATACCAACTAATGACGTAATATTACTAACAGCATGGTCTTGCATGAAATATGGAGATAACGACCAGTATTCAAGCTCAAAGTCCACTAAACAATACAAATCGGGAGCAGAGCAAACACGGACCTCCAAAAACAGAGGTGGAATCAGGTGCCATGGAAGAGTGAGTATCCCCTGCCAACCGGTCACACCCTCCTTGTGCTCCTTGTCATAATCGGTAAATAAAGGAAAATCCGTTGACAATTAAGTGTGTAAATAATGGCCAACAATTAGTGTGAAAACGTTAGTCAGCATATGACTTAATGATAGATTGTATTTACTGACAAGGCCATTGTATCCACCATAGGGCTAACGTAATGACGACTTTAAACGAGACTGTTAATATTCTTGTTTCATCAACTTGTTAGTCAATAACTTACTTCGTTTTAGAAATTGTTCATACGTAGAGCATGCTCTTGCGTATCGAATCAACTAAGAGATATACACCCCATCTTGCAAGTGATAAGGATATATTGTTGCAAAAGTAAGGAAAGTTGACGATTGAAAAGTTAAAGTCATCATGTTATTTATCGATCATTACAAGGAGCACGAGGCGGGTGTGACCGGTCGGCAGGAGATGCTCACTCCTCCATGACACCTGATCCCACGTCTGTTCTTGGAGGTCTGGTCTGCTCTGCTCCCGATTTGTATTGTTTTAATGGACTTTGAGCTTGAATACTGTTTGTTGTTGAAATGTTCGTCTTTTCATCCTAGATCGGTAGTAAGTCTGTAAAAGTTGGTCCTTGAATTCATTTTGACAACCAACTATTTATACCTATCATATCACATGTAAATGACTTTAGTACACATACGATTAAATTTAGAGCAATCTTTTTGAAGCACGCAACTTCCTCAGCTCGAGCAACGTAATTAGCATCAACATCCTGCAAGATTAAATTTTTTGAAGTAGTCTATTTTTCATTACTTGTGAAGAAGTACGTAATCCCTGAAGCAGTCAAACTTTGGTCGATCGTTTCCATGCACTTGCACACAATTAATTTTCAGGTTGATTCGTTACCTTCATCAATTAATATCATATCCTTTGAATCTTCTTTATCTCCTTATTTCATGTCTTAAAATTGCCCTTTAACAGAGTTCATCAGTTAAATACAGGTATCACATCATCAGATCATAATAGAATTCTTAGCTATTTGTAACTTTTTCATTTTGTAATGACTACGTAATAGTTAGAACACAGAATTATCAGGTTTCATGTCTTAGATATTGACGTTATGTTTACATTTATTTTGTTCATACTTAGTCCAATGACAATTATTTCGTCCTCTTATCCATAATGAATACACATGTTTATTTGATGTTTGACACCTTTGCGTTTTCCGGATTTTATTTTTTTTTTTTTATATGAAATGCTTGTCATTCAATATCTTTTTTAAGGAGTTTATGACGTCTGTGAAGACAAACTTGCAAAATGTAGTACCTATGGAATAGATATCTGTGTCAAATACGCATCTTGGGCAGCAGTTCAATGTCCAAAGTTCTGTCGGTTTTGCACACGTACGTATTAGTACATTTTATTCGAAAATGATATTTAAAACGCTAATTGAAAGCATATATTCATCAACTGTTTGATCACAATAGTAAAAGAGATGGTCTTGGTATCAATCAATGCGGTAAAATGTGTACTTTTTAATAAAGGAAGGTCTGTTGAATATCCGAACCATTTGATACATTGCAGTGATTGCACATTTGCTTACTTATAGCTTCAACCAACATAACTACTACTCAAACAACACAACTATCGTCTACAACAACTACATTTTCACCAACCTCAACCTCACCTTCACAGCAACCCACTACAATCAAAACAGCAACCACAACAATGCCACGATCTACTTCGACCTTAACACGACACATAACAACACCAACCACATCTACCTTGCTGCCATCTGCCTCGATTTCAACACAGTACACCACAACAATACTACCATCAACAACTACCGCGCCATCATCCACTTCTCTAGACACGGTGACCACACCACCGTCCGCTTCTCTAGACACGGTGACCACACCACCGTCCGCTACACAAAAACCATGCCTCAACACCAGGAAGGACTGTGCTAATCTGGGGCTTATTATTTGTTTTACAAACCAAACTTACGCCGAAGAAAACTGTGCCCTGTTCTGTAATTTTTGTAATTGTAGGTGTATTACAATGACTGAGTCTAACATCTCTCTCTCTCTCTCTCTCTCTCTCTCTCTCTCTCTCTCTCTCTCTCTCATAAATAGAAATCTCAGTCTTGAATCCTTGAGATAGAAATAAATTTAAAGTTGCAAAGAAAAACTTAAATTAAAGTTTGCTTATGTGGCGCGGGCATTGTAGTCAAGGTAATAATAGTAATTTAGCTATATGTCTCCCTAATGGGAGATTTCTGTCTGTATGTTTGTTGCATGTCTGTCTGCCATAGCTTTTGAATAGTTTTTGCTAGGGTTTTTATATTTTACATATGTATTCCACGTGATAAGACTTTTTTCGGGTACCAATATCTTTGACCTCATGCCATTGTCCTTGGAGTTTGACCTACTTTTGAAAATTTGAAGCTTGACCACGAGCTGCCATCATATTTTAAGATCTAATACTCTTGTGCAATTTGCATTCTAAGTAGTTGCTTTATACTTGATAAATCAGATGATATATATATACATATATATATATATATATATGTATATATATATATATATATATATAGAAAGCACAGAGAAATTCACTTTTATAAGGATACCCACTTCCGCCCCAACCCGGGGTTGAACTCTCGACCTACGGAATCTGATCCTCTGATAAAACTAATGTCCAAACACGTCTTCTTCTGCAGCTATAGCATTAACGGACTCTTTGACAACTACTCCAACAATTACAGAGGTCACTGGAGAACAAAGTCCTCAGACATCTCCAGAACTGAATGGATTTACCAGTACACTTTATTCCTCAACAATGAGTGAGAGTTGTGATTCATAGATTTTGTTTTCTTCATTATTTTAACCTTATTTTAAGTTTCATCAAAAGTTAGAACATACGACCTGTTTCAGAACAATTAACTCAAGAATTCAACTGTTGTTCATTAAAGTAGTCGTGATTTTTTAATGTTTTTTTTTTAAGTTTTCCTTGGCTTAAAGTCATAAAAAGGTGCTTGTATAATTACGACGGTATACTTTTCAATACCATTCTTTTTATATTTCAGCTACCAATCCAAAAATTATTGTTATTGGATGATGATGTAAGAATGGCAACAAGTTTTTGGAGAATCTAATAAATGTCTTTAAATTGTGTAATACTGCAGTTTTCTTTCATTTCCGACCACATAAGCTGATGTGATCTCTCCGACCACATAAGCTGATGTGATCGAGTCCACTTCTTCCGAATGTTAAGGCTATATACTTTGTCATAATGGTAGTCGTTTTGATCAAAATTGGAGAAACTAAAGTTGGTTGATTTTCAGTGCAAATCAAATTCATCAAGAAAAGGTCTGTCGAATGCATGATTGCTTCTTTGAAGTTAAATTTTCTAGGGACCATTATTGCTGTCGTCAATTGAAAATTAGAGCGCGCATTAATTCAATTGTTGAGTTAAACAATGTGGTGGATTGATTGATTGATTGCATGTTGTTTTAGGTCCCATTCGAGCATTTTTCACTCATATAGAGACGTCACCATATACCGGTGAAGGGCTTCAAATTTTGACCTTTACTCGGCACTCAGGGCCATTGAGCAATGAGGGATCTTTATCCTGCCAACGCCTGCCGTGACACGGGGCCTCGGTTTTTAAGGTCTCATCCGAAGGACCCGCAACTTTCACTTCAAAGTGCCGAGCGCATGGCGAAGGAACAGTTGCTACCCATTTTTTATCGACTTATGTAAGTCGCGGCCGAGATTCGAACTCACGACCTCCCGATCACGAAGGAAGCGCTCTACCGACTGAGCTATCGTGAACGGTAACAACGTGGTGGAATTATTGGTCGTGTGAATTAACCTGGACCTCGGTATAGATGATTCGTTGATTTCTTTAATTGAAATTATATCTAATTATTTTACATCGATTTTGTTAAAGTAATTAATGCCCGCATCGATTCTTTAAGGAGAGCTAGAATTCAATGAAAGGGATCATTATTTAAAATGCGAAATGTTGAATTGAAGATAACACTTACTTTTGAAAAAAACTGTTGCTTTCTCTAGAAGAATTGCTGCGCATATTTATTGAGTAAATGATATTATAAATTCAATAGAAGACAGCAGTGATTCAATCTGAAGATAGCCAATGGTTCAATTTTTGTGCGCATAAATTTAATTCTTGCCCTAATTGAGTACATCAATGCATTTGTTTCTATTGATTCATTAGAAGCTTAAGGGAGCAAGGATACAATTATTGCGTTCATCAATTAAGCAAATTAATTAATTATATCAACAATTGAAAGAGATATGCGCACAATAATTTAGAACTGGGGATATTTTCAAATAATAAATGATTTTCAATTCTTTTGAGATTATCTTAAAATTTGGCGCCCAATGAAGTACCACTGCTACATTTTACATGTACAACAATGTCGAGTAAATTTAATGTACATACATGTAGATATGTAGATAAATTTAACCTAGTTTCTGTCATTAGAGGTTCGTGATATAACTTTTTAGGCATTAAAATATTCTATTTATCATCAAGATAGTAATTAAGAATTTCAAGTGTATTGGGTTTCTGAAATGATATAATACTCTATAGAAATAGAGCATTTACAGACCCGATAGGAAAAGAGACAATATCATTAAATGGGACTCAGTGTTGTTGTGTGTTGATAAGCTGGTGCCACATATAACCTCTCTCATGGAATACATAACAAATAGTTTTGTTTATATTCTTTTCCTATGCTTCCTTGTATTTTCCATTTATGGTTCTTCATACGCGGATCTTGCTGGTAAGATAAAAAATTTTCAATGTACTTTTTTTCCTAAACCATATAATGACGTAATTGTATTGCACAAAATGATGTATTAATCAAAGAGATTCTTTGAATATTACTATGCTTTTCAGCCTGTGCTAAAACCCCAGCTGATATCTTATTTGTGCTTGATGCGTCCACTAGCATAAAAATCACTAACTTTGAAAAAGAGAGGAATTTCGTGGCAGGCTTCGTGAATGATCTGGACATTGGACCTAATGATGTACAAGTTTCTGTAGGGACATTTTCTGATAATGCACGTGGATACTTTTACTTACATACACATCAAAATAAGACAGATCTTTTGAACGCAATTCGAAACGTAAGTAACACAGAGTATTGATATTTATATATTCTATAAAGCTGACAGTTCCAGAACGTATGTTCTAAAATGGGTAAGAACATCGAAGAAGCCATAATTTCCTGACGTAAGAAAAACATCCTTTATCATTTTTATTCAATATGTCATATAAGGCTTCCGCTCTTTAACCGACAGTCGTTACTTGTATGCCTATATTTGAGACTTTCTATAGGATATCCATGCTCTATTATTCTTTCTTACAGTTTCGCAATTTTTTATTCATTTCTATTTTTATTTTTATAAAAAAAAAAAATTTTAGCCTATTTTAGTGACAATATTTTAGCGACAGTATATTATTTTACTGACAGTATACAATGAATTTCTATGAAATAAAACAATATATCTCCTACAATTGTAAATCTTCTAATTTTTTCTTTATGCATTAGGAATTTTGGTGTCCGTTGACCAAAAAAAGTTGTTTATATAAACTGGACTCTGCATTGTTGTTTTTTATCACTAAATGTAGTTGTGTTCTTTATTTATAGTTTAAATTCATCTTCAACACTAGTCAAACGTTTACCCTGAACAGAAAGAAATACATGTACATGACAGTATTCTACAGAAGGGGTAGTTGACGACCCCTGTTACTTTAAATAAGAAAGAAATACATTTAATTAAGGGCAAAGTTCACTTAGGACCCTTTTGTCCCTGTGCATTACTAAAAAATCAAAACTGCTCAATTTTAGTTGACAATGCTTTAAATATCACTTGGAACCATCGTGACTGCATATATATTGAAAATCACGTAATTTTTTGCTAGTCAATGCATTATAGTGTCATGAATTGCGTCATTTGTGCATTAGCTGTGACAAGACTTTTCAAATGAAATATAATTTTTAACCCCATGACCTTGACCTTGAAGTTTGGCCTAATTTTCAAAAATTGCAACATTGCTGATAATTTTTGAATGAGAGAAGAAAGGGCGTTCATATTCGACATGTGCATCATTACCTGTGACAAGCCGATTCCAAATATGCAATGATTTTTGACCCTGTGACCTTGAAAATTTACCTTATTTTTACAAAATCAAAAATTTTAACTTTGGCCATAACTTTTGCTCCAGACGAGAAAGGGCTTTCATATTTTTTTTACATGTGCATTACTTATGACAAGACCTTTCGAATTGTATCATGATATTTGACCTCATGATGTTGATCTTGAAGTTTAATGCAGTTTTGAGAAGCTTTAATCTTTGCCATAAATTTTAATAATTAATTTTTTTTAATCTTTTTTGAATGACAGACACACAAGACAGGAAGCAGAAACGAGACAGTTACAATAAGCCATAAATAATTGCATCCCAACTACTAAGGCACCGAAAGCGGGGAACCACAATTCTTAAATTTGCTTGTTGTTCATTATTGTAGATTCCGTATGAGTACGGACAAACGCATACACATCTTGCTTTCCAACTGGCAGAACAGTATATTTTCACAAACTTCAGTGGAGATAGACCATCAGCTACAAACATCGTTTTTGTTTTAACTGACGGCCAATCTCAAAATCATACGGCTACTTTCTTAGGGGCTCAAAAATTAAAGGATGCTGGTGTAAAGATATATGCTATTGGAATAGGAGGACATGTTCAAAAAAGCGAACTACAGGACATAGCCAGTGACAGTGGTCATGTCTTTATGGTGGACAGCTTCGCCGATTTACCATCTATACATAACCTCGTGCAGAGAACGTACTGCGAAGGTATTCAAAGTCACATTAGAATTTGCTTGTCTTTCGGTTAACTTCCTTTCAATGAAGTAAAAATATTACAGATGTTTATCCGATAATGTATGATATTGAAATTTTCACATACTGTCAAATATAGTTTGCTATAATTTGAATTTTTATGATATTGATATAGTCATGCAGTAATCGGAAAGGAGAATTTACTTTTTAAAGTTAAGTTATTATGCATTCTTATGAGACAAACGAAATATTTTAAAAATGAGTATTGAATGTTTTATTTAGTTACCTAGATAAGTATTTATCAATGAATGTATAAATATCCCCCCTTAAGGCTATTCAAGTACAGTCAAAACCCCTGTTACTGTCAGCTCGTCAACAACTCAGAAATCAACATCATCCTCGCCAGCAAAATCAACCACCTCAATTACTAGCAAATCAGCAAGCGAAACGATGACCAAATCGACGATAACGGCATCTCCAACTATTACGACCCAATCTGTAGGAACAACTGCACCGATATCAACAACACCCACATCGCAGACGACAGTTGTCACAGCATCGTCTGCAATAACACCAACAACGCAGACGACAGTTGCCACAGCATCGTCTGCAACAACATCTCCAACACCAACATCAACAGTGACAACAAAATCGACAACAGCTTCATCAACAACAAGTACAGTCGAAAATTAACTTTTATTTCCGAAAGTCATTGATTAAAGAAGAAAAGACTATACAGTATTTTATATATGGATTTTATAAGAAAACATTGATGTCCTATTATTTGAAAATGACGATATACAATGTAATGCTTTTATGATCTAGAAAATTGATACTCCCAAAACATTTAAAAAATGATGATTATAATAGAATCATACTATTCTATTACAATCTTATATATTTATTTAACTCGACATACAACCTTAAAATTCAGTTTTTCAGTAGGAGGTGTCCCAAAGTAATATGGGGCACAAACCACAGTGACTTCAAATGTATTCTATCATGTGGCAAATGTTCTTTATTCAAAAAAAATCCAGAAATCAGGGTTAATTTTCAGACTGTATAATAAGGATCTTGTTTACTTACAGTTGCAACACCACCTCCTATTCCTAGTGGTATGTTTAACAAGAAAAAATCCACAAGTTGTGTATACTGAACAAAATTTGAAGACGGTGTATTGTAAAGGTTAAATGTTATTTTGTCTTTTGCTGTTTATATTTAGTAATGTGTAATATTATAAATAAAATTAATTAAGACCCATTGCAGGTCCCTGTGTAGACAAAATAGGAAACTGTGCTGGTTATGGAGATGGCGTTTGTTTAACTTACAGGAAGTGGTCGGTCATGAACTGTGCACGGTTTTGTTTGTTTTGTCACGGTAGTATTTCTTTTATTAGTTTTTGATTTAAAAAAAAATCCAGGTTAACAAAACCATTGATAAATTAAAATGCAACTCAAATATTGAAATGAAACATATTTGTTTACTTTCATATTGTCAGGATAGCAAGTATTTTATACTGGAATATAATGCTCAAACTATAGATAATATAGACACTTTATTTCAAATCTATATAAAAAATTGCTACAAACATTCCGACAATATTTGAAATAAATAAAAATTGTTACATCATATAAACAGAAACTATAGAGGACTTTAATATGATGGTTCAATACATGTATATGACAATTAAGCTTAGTCCAAAAATATAATGGTACAAAAAGTGTATCTATTTAAAAGTGTTTTGGGCATTATATGTTTATGAAAAACATCAAACATGTTAAAATAATACCTACATGATGAATTCTGTTTTTTCACACAGTAAGAAATTCAGATCTCCTTTTCTTATGCTGTATACCTGATTTCGAACATCATTTTTAATTGTAGATACAGGAACCACACAAACCACCACACCCCCACCGACTCCACCCCTAACCACAAGTAGGATACATGTATCTTATAAGTCACCTACCGGTAAAACCGGAGGGGACTTTAGGTTTCCTCTGAGTCTGTCCGTCCGTCTGTCTGTCTGTCTGTCCCTCTGTCTGTCTGTCTGTCAGTCTGTCCCACTTAGTTTTCCGCACTTTTTTTCTAAACGCTTGCAGGTATTGAGCTGATTTTTGGTGTGTGAGTGTATCTTGATGAGTTATAGATCAAGTTTGCATTTCGTTTCGCTTCAATGATTTTTGACGGAATTACGACCTTTTCAATTTTTCAGGGTTTTCCGCAATTTTTTTTTCTAAATGCTTGCAGATATTGAGTTGATTTTTTGTATGTGACTTTACCTCGACGAGTCATAGATTAAGTTCGCATTTCGTTCCGTTTCTTTGTTTTTTGACGGAATTATGGCATTGTCAATTTTTAACGGGAACCAGATTACACTTGCCGTAGGGGAGTAGTATTGCTAATGCAATACTCTCAGAATGCTTGTTATATTTGTTTTTTATTGGACTCTACCTTTGATTATTATTAGTAATCAATTTACAAATAAATTCGTCAAATAAGTCAAGAATTTCTCATATTTGTAACAAACACCAGATGAGTTTGTTAACCTCCATTTTGATTTAAGGAAACTATACAGTGTGTGAAGATAAGGTACCAACGTGCATCAATTACGGCCCTGAGATTTGTTTTAAGTATACTTCATGGGCGGCTGTTCAGTGTCCAAAATTTTGTGTATTTTGTAAGGGTAAGTTTTCTTATTCCATTGATAAGCACAAATATGGACGCGCTGTTTTGCAATTGCAATCATTTCTGCCAATATGCGAGTAATAACAGTTAAAAAGTCATGCAAACAATGTAAACATTTTTTAAGATAAAAAAAATAGCAATGTGTGATTATGTAACACAATAGCCACCGATACTACAACCACTACGAGCACCACAACTACCACGACCACCACCATGCCATCTCCCACCTCCCCACGTATCTGTGCTGATACCGAGAATAACAACTGCAGCACTGCTGGTCCAATTATCTGCTTTGAAAATCAGGTGTATGCAGAAAACAACTGCCCTGTATTCTGTAATTTCTGCACACGTATGTTTCCTGTTTAAAAATTTCTTTAGGATATATCATTTTGTCTACATTGTGTTAGTCATTCAATAAATATATACTATACGACTTAAAGCTGGATATAAAAGTTCATAGCTCTCAATGGGTGAGCAGTGCATGTTTATACGAGGGCCGCTCAAAAATAACTCGGACTCGGCTATTATCTACTCTTACAGACGTCAAATTATATGGAAAATTCACAGAAACATATTTCTTAAAGAATCCAGTCGATTTTTTGTACGACAAAATTTTACTCATTTATTTTCTATAATTCGCGATATTATTCGCTAAAATTTCTCTAAAATTTCTTTTTATTGTTCCATTATCATGTAATATTTTGATTTCTGAAGTAATATTTGAAGTACTAAAAGAAACATTGTGATTTTTTACCGATATGGTTCCAATGAAAACAACTGCAAAAATGACTATTAGTGATTGTCGGAAACGCGCACTTTTTGTGCTCGAGAAAACGCCAGCATGGACCCAAATATACTTGATGAAACATATAATAAACCAGTTGTATTCCAAACATATGTCTTCTAATAGCAATTTAAGAGGGGATGAAAGAGGATCATCAACGAAAACTTGATCTGGGCTGATACATGTAAGAACGTGATTGAGTGACCGACGTCACACAATATTTCAGAAATACCAGCATTTTGGGTTTAAAACAAGCAAAAACAATCATACTATACTATTTTTACAGTTTTTATGCTGAACAAGAAGTGGTAAATGGATGTTTAAGTTGAGTGGATAAGATAATTCAAACTGTACAGTATCAAATATTAAGGGAAAATGTTGAAAAAATGCTCACATTTTTTTTTATGCCTGTGACGTTGAAGATTTTACTGCACCGTGACTTCCTGATAAATCCTGTTAAATCACCTAAAAGTGATATCAATTCAAAACATTTTGATAAGAAATTTTGATGACCATATAAGTAAAGATTCTTTTCCATTATGTATGACTTTCTGCTTGATTATGTCCGACGTCACATATTTTTTTCTGTGCAACAAGTCTGCGTAATTTTTGAACGGCCATCGTATGTTCCGTTACTGAAGAAAAAAAATGAAAAAAAGGACAAGTTTCTTCTTAATTGAAAATAATCAAATACTAGTAAAATGTGTGAAAACTTGAAAAACATGCTGTGGCTCTCGTGTGGAACATCAAGACCAGAACACAAATATGTCAAAGACAAATCAGCAATTTAAGGCTTTAACAGGACAATATCCGTCTTTAAATTGTTATAATTTGAAATCCAATTCGCAGACGGGCCATACAGATCTGCTAGAGAAAATTCGTAATCATGCTATAAGGATGATTGAATCTTTCATAGCAGAATGGCCAAACATACCACTGCTTTTCCTGTACTTTGAGTTTTACAGAGGACATTGTAAATTGTGACATTAATATCAATAAAATTCCTTTATTTATAATAGTGATATGTTTAATGTTATAGCCCCGGTTATAACCCTAGGAGTGACTGCCCTTCCAGCATTTCAATCCAGTACAACATCCAAACCTATGAGTGAGTCAAAGTTCTTCTATCTTCTTTGAGGTCTTCAGAACCTACATGTACTTGATATAAAATCTGTATCACATCGCATGTCAATAATGCAAGCAAAAACCACTTTATCCACTAAATAAACACTGAAATTTTCCGAGCATCAACTCTAAACAATGCTTGTCATAGAAATTATAAATAGAGACAATCAAATAATAATGTAAAATACATAATATTCATAATAAGTTTATCGGTTTTTTTTAATAATCAAAATATCATTTGTCTTCATCTTCTATACAGGCATCAATCAAATTTGCTTAAAGAAAATCTGCAACTATCCATAATTAATTTATCTGGTTACTTGTATACTGGTCAAAGATCAGAATATTTTATGCATATGCATAAAGAATGTGTTTCTTCTGTCTGTGAACAAATTTTCAAAAATTAACTCATTAAACAGTTTTAAATCTGATCTAAATAAAAATTTGCATATAAGTAGACCATACCAGGATACATTTTATTCTAATTACGGATTTTTAATTTCAATAAACGGTGTTACAAGTGTAACTGAAGGGTTAAAAAATCCATAAAAATGAAACTTTTGATATCCATTTTTAGCTCTAGAACCAGAAGAGTTTATGCGATAGTAAAACTTCCGCTCTCCATCCGTCAGTATGTCTAGCTGACTGTTTGTCTATCTGTCTGTCTATAAACATCTTTTCAAAAGGCTACTCATCCTACACTTTTGATCTGATTTCAATTAAAGTTGGTACACAACCAGACTAGAGTTAGATACATAATTCTTTTTATCGGTTTTGGATTTCTCTGATCGGTATTGGCATGGTTGCAAAAAATAGAAATTTCTGTAATTCGTTCAAAAGGCTTCTCTTCGTACAGTTGTGGTTAATTTAAATAAAACGTATTTCACAAGTAGATTTCACTAAGATATATAAATCTGTATATCGGTTTTTGATTTTGACGAACGGTCTTACGAAAATTCTTTCAATAGGCTACTCATTCTACAATTTCGGTCTGATTTACACAGGAATACTGCACTAAAATACTGAAAACGTTGAAATTTACGCATTGGGATAATTCATTTTATGCTAAAAAGGCGGTAAGAAAGATCTTGAGTAAATATCCCCCACATATGAACTGGAAATGTATTTTATGAGCAATAACTGAGAGCAATAAATCTTAAACTTTTTGTGCATTTCGTAAATCAAATATTTTGAATACCGGTACTTAGTAATTTAATAACCTACTTTTATTCAAGATCATAAATGAATATTAATTTTCTTAATACATGATTAATATTAATATAATATTGATTTTCTTAACACATGATTATTTATCTATACAAAATAACAATAAAATTATCAAGAAAAATGAAATATGAAGATACTATGTTTCCTTCCCTTTCTATCATTTAGAAACTTTATCTAAGAATACTAAAATCAATAGCAAAAACACTTTATTGAAGTTTTTTATGGACACATTCGGTATGCGTTGTTTTACTGTTCGGATTACAGTATACACAATTGTGTCAGTTTCATTAATCACTTTTCTTCTATTTTATTTGTCTTTTACTGGTTTAGTGATATTTAGATAAATCATTTTATTGATATAACACAAATTTTCCCTTCTGTTTCAGCTACAAATCCTGATGTTATAGTGATAGGAAAAAAACGACACGACAAACTCTACAGAAGACTGTCTGGATACAGAAAATCAGTTAGAAACTGAACATTTGTTCCACAGTAGTAAACAAATTACATATTTGGGTGGAGAATAGAACGAGATGTTGCACTTTCTTGATTTATAAATAAAATGTGTAACTATCTGTGCTTGAGATCTGACTTTTGACGACATGAAAATATGGCATTATATCTTTCCAATTTCTAATACACTGAAACATATTTTCCTATATCATTACAACTAGTTAATTTTTGACACACTGTAAGATTATTTTCTCCAACATAAAAAGACAAAAGTTAATATGTAGGCAAACGTCCTTAAAACCACCGTGAATGGTCCCGAATTTCCACGCTTTTAAAAAAGACTTTTACATAAAACAAATTGCATCTTTATAGAATTCAATGAGAGAAAGAGTGGTGCAAAGTGAAAAATAATGATTTACTAGAGTATTGATGTTCAAATGGAAAAAATTTTAAACTTACTTCATCTATACCTATGAATCACACAATAAATACTCATTTTCCCACAAATTACAGAACATATTTGCAATACATTTCAATAAAATCGTAACATTTTTTGAGATCCGAAGCTTTATTTCTTTCTTCTGAGATATCTGCAAGGGGGTAATGAAGATTATTCACATCCTCAAGTGAGATATTTTAGGAATGACTCTAATTCTTGGCCATATTATTCGAGTATAACCTGGTTTGGGTCAGTTTACGCTTTATAATCCGCGAAGCGGATTATAAAACAGCGTAAACTGACCCAAACCAGGTTATACTCGAATAATTTGGCCAAGAATTAGAGTTATTCCTTATAATTTAATTTTAAAATCATTAAATAACTATTTGGTGTAAAATTTCGTTACTTTTTATTAGTTCAAATTTGCCGCTCAATAATACAACCATAGTAACGGAAGTAACGGAAGTGATGGGAATCGAGGGGAGGTAAAAACTGATACATAGGCATAGCAGCCATGTTGTTTGGTTACATGTGGTAAGATCGAATTATTGTTTGAAATTAAAGGTACATTTATTAAATCTGGAATTTTCCATGAATCCCGAGGACTGGAAATGAGAGGATTGTATGGATACAGATGATTCAGCTGGTTGTCAGGAGGGTGTGTCCCCATACCAAACCAGGTTATACAGAAATAATTTGTGTTCCTTTTTGGATATTAACCAATCAGAGGCTAGTATACAAACAAAATTAAATTATTTCTGTGTATTCTGAAGGTTAATACATTTATTTGACAACATTGTCCAAAAACTTGTATTTATAATTGATGCAATGTTCAAGATACATTTCTACATTGAAAAAAAAGCCTTGTTTGTAATTGGTCAGAATCACTTGCATTAGTTTCACGACTTTAACTAAAACTATATAATCAAATAGTACTGAGCTTTTCTCGAATAAATAATCATTTATTGGCACAATCAATTGTGTTATGAAATATATGGAGATAACGAACAGTATTCAAGCTCAAAAGTCCATTAAACAATACACATTTTGGAGCAGATCAAACAAGGACCTCTAAAACATCAGAGGTGGGATCAGGTGCCGTGGAGGAGTGAGCATCCCCTGCCTACTGGTCAAACCCGCCGTGTGCTCCTTGTCATGATCGGGAAATAACAGAAAAACCCGTCGACAATTCAGTGTGTAAATAATGGCCTAACAATTAGTATGAAAAACGTCAGTCAGCATTTGACTTAGACATTGGTCAAACGTAGAGCATGCTCTTGCACTTCGAATCAGCTGAAAGATATAAACCCCATATGCAGGTGATAAAGGTATATTGCTGCATAAGTAAGGGAAGTTGACGATTGAAAAGGTTAAGTCATCACGTTTATCAAAAAGCTTTGTTGTTAGATAACAATTAACGTCTTTTTCTAGTAAAATATCCAAATATAAAACAGATGTGCCAGACTCTGGTTTCTTTTACTTCAAGTTCACCGTGATATATCGTATCGACATAAGAGTGGCAATAACCATTGTTAATTGACAATACGTCGTCGATATATCAAAATGTCGAGCTAAAGACCACAGCAAGTGTTTTCTTCTTTTCATGTATAAGGTTTTAAACAAATTCTGCTTCATGTGGATACAAAAATAGGTCTACTAATAACGGGGAGCAATTGGTACCCATGGGGATTCCAATAGATTGTTGAAAGACCTGGTCTTCAAAAACCACATAGATAATGTCAATTAGAAACCCAAGCATCTTTTTAATACCAACTTCAGAGTACTTGTGTGTATAATCAGAATTTTTTTTGATAAAAAAAATTTTCTTAATAACCAATAAGGAGGTTAGTAAATTTACGAGTCCATTCTTATTGTAAAAGCAGCTGTCAATGATGTCTTAAAACCATGGACTTTAATTTATCGTGGGAAATGGTTGTATATAAAGTTGAAAAGTCGTAAGTTTTTATGCTGTTGATTTTGGTAAAATTTTGCTTGATTACAAATTTTCCAAAAGTTCCTTGGAATTTTTTTATATCCACATCTGATTTACATCATTTCTCGAATATATTGCACACGTTCCTCCTTCACTACTGTTAATAATTTAGTGAGGAGTAAAGAAAGAGGCTTGGTAGAACATTTACTGGAACCCGCTATGTATCTTTGTTTGTAAGGATTTTTATGAAGTTTCAGAATCCAATATAGATATGCTAATTAAATTTCATTTGGGTTGTTGGGAATATTAAAAATCTTTAAAACTGACATATAATTTTGAAGAATTTCCTCCTTAGAAAGGGAACTATGGGTATATGTTGTCCTTTTACGTCATTTATTTGATTAAGTAGCATTTTCACTCACATAACGTAGTTCCTCTTATTTTATGATGTATGGGATCCAGCAAAAAATAGCTGCGAATTGCCAGTTTTGACATGAGTTCCACTTAGCAAAATTTGTGGATATAAATAATTTGTATTCAGATTCAAATTTGTACACAGTTACTTTGTCGGTGAAATCATGAATTAGGATTTCCGTTCTGTCGAATATCAGAACTTATAGATAATTAATAAAATTAAATGATATTTAATAAACTTAATGAATAGGAAAATTAAAGGTCAATGGATTAGATAACCAGGACAATAAATGGGACAAGAAATGAACATTGTGATAAGATGGCACACGGAACCCTAATATTGAAATATACATTGACAAATTATTTTGTGTACATTCTGTTTTACTGCTTAATTGCTGTTTGCATCACTGATTCATCCTATGCAAGTCTTGCTGGTAAGATATTACTTACTCTAAAACATATTTAGATTTAATTCTACTTTTAAAAAATCATCAATATATATCATTTTCTACATGTACTTTTCAGCCTGTGCTAAAACACCGGCTGATATCTTATTTGTGCTTGATGGTTCTACTAGCATAGGAATCAAGGACTTTGAAAAAGAGAGGAATTTTGTGGCAGGCTTTGTGAATGATTTGGACGTTGGACCTAATGATGTACAAGTTTCTGTGGGGACATTTTCTGATAGTGCACGTGGATACTTTTATTTACATACACATCAAAATAAGACAGATCTTTTGAACGCAATTCAAAAGGTTAGTCCATTTAACATTAAGTGCTGATATCCAATATTTTAATAATTCTGCTCTTTAGTAGGTTTTTAATTCAAACTTGCTGATGAAAAGCATGCACCCGAAAAATTTCTTTCGCTGATAATATTCAGGAATTTTAATTTGAAAACGTTTTACCCGTAGTTCTCTTCAAAACTTTGAGTTAAATCAACATCTACACAAAGTTAAATTTGTAAAGTCACATTCACTTTTTAAACAAATAATTTCAATGTATTTTATGTGAAAAAAAATATTAGACGACATCATAATACATTTTTTTAACTCGTTTTTATCTTATCTCAAGGACCAGGTGGTTCTTTTTAGAAAAAAAAGAAACATTGCAGGTGCAAGTGACCCAGACTTCTTAGTTGTAGGAGTTAATTCCAACTCTAAAATATTTTCATTTTCACCCAGGTTCGTTCCGAAATATAATTGTTGTGGACCAAGGTTAACTTTCCCTAAATAAAACAACTTGTTAAGTTTTCAACAATTTATTATGACTATAAACATGCAATATTACTGAAAATCATGTAATACCTGATTCAGGTGAAACAGGTCTCAACCCTAGTCTTTGAGTAGATACACTACTGACACTTTATATGTTTGTCTGTATGTTGTTTTTCATTCAAATGGAGACGCCACCACGTGCCGGTGGAGAGCTGCAAATTTTGTCCTATACTCTGCACTTACGGCCATTGAGCATTGAGGGGTCTTTTTCGTGCCAGCACCTACTGCGACACGGGACCTCGGTTTATACGGTCTCATCCGAAGGACCGGTCTCCACGTCCCACAGTGGGATTCGAACCCGCGACGTAAGGATCAACTCCTTACTTCGCGACTCTAGAGCAGACGCTTTAACCACTGCGCCACGCGGGCTATTGACAATTTAAAGGTCTGTTATGATTTAAATAGCCAGGAGAATAAAAGAAATGAAAGTGACCAATAGACATTTTTTATGTTTGACTGACAATTGACCATCGATAGCCGAAGTATATCTCTCGATAAGGCTGTATTAAACTGAATACCTTTAATTCTATGGAACGCCAAAAGTGAAATCTACTACACAGTCAAACAAGTAAAACCTAAGTCTCTCTAGAGATTGTGTTTTTTCTTTTAACTGAGTATAAGTAATTGACAGAAAAAAGATGGAGATTGATCTTGAAATGAATAGATTAGGGTTTCTCAAATCCGATAGATAACAAATTCGAGTACTAATAATAATTTTGTAATACACTGTGCATTATAAATATGCATGGCAATTTTCAAACTCTTCACGTTTGAAATATTAAGCTCTTAATCTGTAATAACCTCTGTGATGACGTTATTTCTATGATTTACATTTTGGTAAATACATTGAATTGTTTTTAATTATGTGATGAAATATTTCACAATGTATGAAAAATCCCAAATCACGCATGCTTATTTGGTAATCATCGACGTTTCCAATGAGAAATGACAATCTTCACAAAATATTGTTTTATCATTTAAAATTACAAAATAAAATATTATTTCATACCGGGTCCTCATTCTTTATTTAATTGTTTTTATCTCTTCTTCTCAGTTCGTTGAGTATCCTGTAATGCTGAACATTTTTTTCGTATTTATCAGATTCCATATGAGTTCGGACAAACACACATACATCTTGCTTTCCAACTGGCGGAACAGTATATTTTCACAAACAGGAGTGGAGACAGGGTTTGGGCTACCAATATATTATTTCTTTTAACTAACGGCCAATCTCAAAATCATACAGTTACTTTGCTAGGGGCTCAAAAATTAAAGGATGCTGGTGTAAGGATATATGCTATTGGAGTAGGAGGACATGTTCGAAAAAGCGAACTACAGGACATAGCCAGTGACAGTGGTCATGTCTTTATGGTGGACAGCTTCGCCGATTTGTCATCTATACATAGCCTTGTGCAGAGAACGTACTGCGAAAGTAATGTCATATACGAGTATATCGATCCTTATTAGTAATTCTTACAATTAAAGCATAATATAATGTACTTATAACATAATGATAAAACTATTATTGAATTACTAAATTTTTTAATCTGAAACCAGACGTTTATGGACATGAAAATTATTATTCAGTATGGCTTTTTATGTTGCTCTGTAGCAACCATTAATGATTTTAAAAAATCCAATATTGATAAATTGTTGCATTAGTGAATGAATTGGGTTGGGGGGGGGGCGGTAATGATGTTCAATCCATTTCATTTGTAATGAATAAATATATTTTAAACTAATGATATTAATGATATCCCATCATAAGCACTAATGATAAAACATTCACGAATGTTAACATTTTTCAAAAGAGGCTTAACATGATGTACACTAATGATTAAAAATTATAAGCGGAAAAATAATCACACTCATCCAATAAGGATAAAAAGACTCTGTCATGAATTAGCGGATAAATCTAAATTCGTTAATATAAATTAAGTCTTAGTACCTCAGTTTCCCGTTGTTTACTTGTTACTAATTACCGAAATTTTAAGAAGTAGAGTCAAATGACTATATATTCAACTCATTGTAAGAAATTTGTCATTATTCTCACCTCTTTTAATCCACTCAGGAAAAAAATCAGGCTCTGTGCCCTATGGGTGATTGGGGGCATGATTATACCCGCACTTTCTACAGAAAGATCGCATATATTGTTGTTAATCTGGTCCGTCCGTGGGTCTGTCACACGTTCTTCAAACTCCTGTTTTATTTTAAGACTTAATCTTTTACAGTATGATAGGTAGTGTCCTGCAGATGTGCAATAAGGTTTTTGAATTTTCATTTTTACCCTTGGGCCAAACGGGGTTCAAAAAATGATTTTTTTTTCTACACAGGCCTGGTTACCTGAACTCCTCTTACATTGAACACAGTAGCCAAATTATCTTTTGGAAGATGATTGATGGTGTCCTGTAGATAGGCAATAAAGTTTCGGGATTTTCATTTTTAATCTGGGGACCACAGAGGGGTCGAAAATGGCGTTTTTCTACAAAAACCTGGTTCCAAAAAAATTAACTCCTCATATTTTACGCAGTAGCCAAATGATCTTTTGGAATATGATAGATGGTTACTGTAGATGTGCAATAAGGTCCCGAAATTTTTATTTTCACCCTGGGGCCCAAATGGGGATCAAAAATGACGTTTTTTTTTTCTACAAAAACCTGGTTTCCAGATCTCCTCTTACATTTCAGCAGTAGCCAAATCATCTTTTGGAAGATGGTTTTTAGTGTAATGCAGATGTGCAGTAAGATTTCATAATTTTCATTTACACCCTAGTGGTCAAATGGGGGTCGATAAGCGACGTTTTTTTTTTCTCTAAAACATCTGTTTCCCAGACCTTTTACATTTAACACAGTAGCCAAATCATCTTTTCTAAGATGATTGGTGCTGTCCTGTAGACATGAAATAAGATTTCGGAATTTTCATTTTCAACCTGGGGTCACATAGGGGTCGATAATCCTCTTGCATTTTATGCACTAACAAATCATCTTTTTAAAGATGATACCTGGTGTCCTGTAGTATGTAATAGGGTTTCGGAATTTTCATTTTCACCCGTGTGGCCAAATGGGGATCGAAAATGACGTTTATTTTTCTACAAAAACTTGGTTCCCAGAACCCCTCTTTCATTTTACGCAGTAGGCAGATCATATTTTGGAAGATGCCTGCTGGTGTCTTGTAGATGTGAAATAAGGTTTCGCAATTTTCATTTCCACCCTAGGGGTCATGCAAATGAAGTTAGAAAAATGAGTCTTTTTCTACAAAAAGCTTTTATTATTATTATTATTTATTTATTGGAGTAGCCAAATCATCTTTTGGACAATGACAGGCGGTTTCCTGTACATGAGCAATATGGTTTCATAATTCATTTTCATTCTGGGGCCCAAACAGGGGTCAAAATATGACGTTTTTTCTACAAAAAAAACCTGGTTCCCAGAACTCGTCTCACATTTTATACAGTAGCCAAATCATCTTCTGGAAGATGATTGATAGTGTTCTGGAGATCTGCAATAAGATTTCGGTATTTTCGTATTAACGTTGGAGGTCAAATGAGGGTAAAAAAATGAGGCTTTTTCTACAAAAAAAAATCTTGGTTCCCACAACTCCTTTTACTTTTTAGGCAGATTGAAGCCAAATCATCTCTTGGAAGATGAATGGTGGTCCCCTGTAGATATGCAATAGGGTTTTAAAATTTTGATTTTCACTCTGGTGGTCAAATGGGGTCGAAAAACAAGGTTCTTAAAAAAAAGAGTTCCCAGAACTCCTCTTGCATTTTGTACAATACCCATGTAATCCTTTGGAAGATGACTGCTTGTGTCCTGTAGTTGTGCAAGAAAGTTTCAGAATTTTCACTCAAGGGGCCAATTAGAGGGTTGAAAATGATGCACAAAAACCTGATGCTCAGTGCATCGTGTCATTTGCAACAAAAATATATAAGCTTGAAGGGTTTGAATCTCAGCCATTTTTAAGATATTTAAACAATTATAAAATGAGAGGGGTTATATGACCCTGGCGATACTTACCCAATAGAACACTTTGAGCATAATTAGCCAGAAGTCTCTGACGAGATTGTAGCTTTACTGGTGTAAACTTGTAATAAAGATGCATCTTTGAGAGTAGTGTTTTGAAAGAATTTTAAAGAAATTCCTATTTTTAGAAACCATGGCATCATCACTGGTCTGAAACCATAACAACTACATACAAATGACAGAGAAGGGAAATTGAAATATTATAAATTGGCTATTTTACGAGATCTACTTGCATGTAAACGCGCAGTTTTCATTTCTTTTAATCTAAATGATAACAACAATTATAAATATCGGTATATATTTATTAGCGTATGCTAGCTCCAAAGATATATATCTTAACTACCTGATCCCACCTCTGTTGTTTTAGAGGTCCGTCTTTGTCTGCTCCTATTTTGTAATGTTTAATGGACTTTTGAGTTCGAATACTGTTCGTTATCTCCATATATTTCATTAGTAAATAAAAATATGTCTAGTTTTTCTACTTGAGTGTACCGTTAGTAGAAATATTTATTTCCACCAATTAAAATGGGGTTGCCTATGGTATAAACTTGTAGGGAATGAAGAATGATTTTTTTCTGGGGCGTTGTGGTGGGGAGGGGGTTGGGACTAGTTTTTGATTCCTGTTTAAATTATTAAAAAAAAGCTCAACATCTACATATTTTATACATGATACACTACTATGACACCTGAAACCCCCTTTAAATTCTGAGGTTAATAATCATGGCTTTATTACAATAAAAGATACCTAGATTAACATTTATTTGATATTATGACCCTACTTTCATTGTTTATAATAACAGCTTAACTTAGAACTAATACTTCTTCAAGATGAAAGTAAAATATTTTTCTATATACATTTAATACATTTTTTCAATATAATCTAAAAACTTTTCTTCCGATTTTTGTTAGAAATACATGCAAATGGTCCATGTTTTGCAGTCCTTTTTATGCCCCCATAATCGAAGATTCGGGAGCATATAGTTTTTGCTCTGTCTGTTTGTCTATCCGCAAAAACTTAAACCTTGCCCATAACTTATGATTGGTTGGACATATGGCTTTCATATTTTATATGTGTATTCCTTATGACAAGACCTTTCTTTGGGTACCAATAAATTTGACGTCTTGACTTTGACCTTGGAGTTTGATACACTTTTGCAAAATTTTACCAAATTTTAACCTTGGCCAAAACTTTTGAACAGTTGGTGCTAGTGGCTTTAATACTTCACATGTGTATTCCATGTGACTTTTTCTTAAGTACAAATGGTGTTGACCTTTTTACCTTGACCTTGGAGTTTGACCTATTTTTGAAAAACTTTAACCTTGGCCATTTTTCGAATGGTTGGAACTAGGACTTTCATATTTCACATGATATTTCTTGTAACAAAACCTTCTCTTAGGTACCCGACAATTTTGATCTTTTGACGACCTTGACCTTTGAGTTTGACCTACTTTTGAAAAACTTAAACCTTGGCCATAACGTTTGATTTTGTTGCTAGGGCTTTCATATTTCGTATGTGTAATTCTTGTGACAAGAACTTCCTTAAGGTAACAACAATTTTGACCAGTTGACTTTTGCATTGGAGTTTGACGTACTTTTGAAAAACTTTAACCTTGGCCATAACTTTTAAATGCTTGGTTTAAAGGGCTTATCGTATGTTTCTCAATAACTTGAAATTAAAAGTGTAAATTACGTTTCTTATAATCACAGTTTATAAATGTTATGTTTTTACTGCGGATATACCGCGGTAACTAAACTCTAATTGATTAAATGAAACCCGCTGGTTTAAAAATCCAAGTTAATTAGATATCGATCATGTGACCGTGTGATGTCAAGGAGGACAATGGCTGATCAGCTCTTCACGTTAATCTTACTAAAATATACGCGATACAACCTGGATTTTCTGCGTTATGAGGAACCAAATCACTGATTTTGTCGATATGAATTTAGATATCAGGGAGACGTGGCGAAGACGAGGAAACTCGTCCACAAGGCAACTTGATTTTTCATTTTGTTACACGTATTAACCAATTTTATTCACAAGATTAACATTATACAACTTTCTTTGTTCATTTCTATTATAATATTAATTTATGTAAGTAAAGGCTGGCGGACTGAAAAAAATAATTTCCCCATCATAAAAAAATTACTGTAATCAGATCTACAGATTCTAAAAGCTTAGAATAAAAAACAAAAGTATTACAAAAACCTTATACCTTAGGACTAGTTCATATTTCTATAGTTATTGAAATACACGTTATGAATTAAAAAATTTTCAGCATTATTCGTAATTAGACCGCATTTGTCGTTGATAACTCCGTTAACAGTGAGCATAAAATACATGTACAGATAGTCATAAATAGATTTTCATTTGTGTACTATTTTATCAAAAAAGAAACTTCACATCTACAGTCCCTGACATCAGGGACCTATATACTGTACTATTA